TAAAATTTTACAAATGCAATAAAAATATTGGTATCGGTACTCGGTATCGGCAAGTACCAAAAATAAAAGTATCGGTATCAGGCGAGTACTGAAAAAAGTGGTATCGGTGCATCCCTAGTGTGTGCACATACGTATTTGAACTGTGTGTTAAAAGGGGGTTTAAACCTTGAAAATAACTAATGCTGCAATCAAGGTCGTGGCACTATGAGAGGATTCTTCCCCAATGTCTCAGGAGATGATCGGAATAGCAACTAGAATGCAGAAACCCTGAGAGACAGAAGAAAAAGAGAGGGAGGAAGAGACAGAGCGAGAACGAGACAATGAGAAGAAAACAAGAAGAGGAGAGAAAGATTAAAAGAACGCCAGTATGCAGTGAGTTTGATGAGCAAAACTGTTGCAGCTGTGAGTCATGAACATACTCTTTTATCATTTAAAAAATACATTGTTGCAGTTGCAGTCAACTGCAGTACCGCAATACCACAGTTTAAACAGCAGATCACTAGGGAATATTGCGTTTTGGTTAATTTTCTTATGACAGATCTGTGCAGTTAGCTTTCTTCTCTGCTTTTGACATAAATTGACAACTTTTCCCCCATGAAATAAATCCTCATGGGAAACCTTATGTTCTTAAGAGTTGTCTAAAATGTTTAGTGGATCATCACTATTCAGGTCCAAATGTAGAAGTAAAAAAGTAAAAGAAAGCATTCTTTAAAAAATGCTCACAGACTCAATCCATTGGATCTGAATCTCTTTGCAGTATTTGAATTGGTGATCCAGAAATGTGCAAATGCATGATGGCATTTCGTACAAATGGCATTTGTGATTGAGCCAAACAGCTGTCTGGGTGAGATCCCAGCAGCACTCCTCATTCATTTATCTTTTCTAACAGAGAATCCTGTGAAGTATAATATTTCATGGTGAATTGTTCTTTTAAAGGGAATGGAAAAGATTTTTAAAAATGCTAAATATATTCAAAACTGACACAGTTAAAACAAACCGTCACACATCCCCTCACGAACAGAAACAGACTCAGGCAAAGGAAGAGAAGGATCTGCTGGCACTGGCACGCCACCATGACACCAACACAGACCTGTAGATGAGCTACTGTTCATCTCAACATGTCTGTTTATCAGTTAAAGATGACTGGGATGGTTATATACAAACACGCAGTTGTCCAACAAGGGATCTTCCCGGTTCCTGATTCTGAGGCATTCAGATGCATTTATCTGGGATGCAGCTCTGAAGCTACTCCCGCTGTGGACCAGGGTGAAGTGAGGGTCACAAATAGAGAGAAAAATGGGATAGAAAAAGAGAAGAGGGGAGAAAATAAAAGAGAAAAAGAGAGTGAGGTGGAAGACTGGAGGAATGAATCTGTCACCAGAACAAAATCCCATTCACACGTCAGCAGGTGGCAAGAGCAAGTCAAAGGTAACCTCTCATCCTCAGAATTAACACACACAGACTCCCAGATATCTGCTGGAAAATAATAGAGCTTCTAGATTCTCATGTCTCATTTTATTCTTATTATATTTAAAATTATTGTAAGCCATAGCTCAATGTTAACTCATTTTCAAGTTTTAAAAATAATATCCAGAGCAGGAAAAACAGTAATCTATAAGATTAATTGTTTTGAAAAAGGAAGCTGTATGGTTAAGGTGCTAAGAATTTTACGTCTATTATGTAATGTGCAGTTCTGTTGTATTTCAATGTATTTTTATTTATAATAAACATACATAATTTATAGTTAGGTCTGTATAACGTGATTGTTTTTTTTTTTGTTTTGTTTTTTTTATATACTACCAATGTCCTCATACATGCTGCTTTTTAACATTTACAAAAACATAATTCCCCTAAAAATTCACACATTATGACTCCACTTACGCTTACTTTGCCTACACCAATTTCCACCCATCTTATGCTTTCCTCTCTATACCTGAGCACACACCACTGTTTGGCTTCTGGAAATTTCTGGATGAAAACAGTGTCTGTGAAAGCTAAATGAACACAATGGTCCAGACTCCCGTTTATAACAGCATAAGTGCTTATAAGTTATCAGTAAAATGCCACCAACATCCACTACACAGAGGGAGGAAAGCCATAACGTAACGATACCGCTTCTGTTCGGCTCTTTTTGCACCATGGGGGAGAGTGTGGGATGGATATGACAGGTAGACCGCGTGTGTATGTGTGGGTTGTAAAAAAATACAGAAGCGAGTGCAAGAATGGAAGAGAGGTAGAATTAGTGTAAATGAATGTGTTAATGTCTTAAGTCTGTCTGATTGCAAATCCACAACTGTGTGTATGTGTTTTTCTGTGCCCCCTACTGTCTGCACACAGTACAACCCTTACGTCATGTCTGGAGTTCAGAGAGGTGCTACTCTGACTCTTTATGAAACCGCAACACAGTGCGAAGCCCAAATATGGCAGCACCACATTTGAGTGTACAAATGTTTGCACAAAGGTGTGCTGAATTGAAAATAAAAAATTCAACTGTGGGCATCCAAAACATCCTCATTTGTAAAAACAATATAGAAATAAAGTAAACTGTGTTTTTTTCAGTTAGGGTGAGAATGTGTATTTGTACATTAAATAACAGAAGTCAAGTAAAGCTGTGTGGACGAGAGAGAGAGAGTGCAAGAAATTAGTAATTGCATTAATATTTGTATTTTCTTTATCCTTATATAAAGCTTAATTTATTAAATGTGAGTGAAAAGTAGCCACAACAAATTTCTCAGTAAAATACAAGAGTGCCTGAAATCATTTGTTGCATTCCAAACAATTAAGCAGAAAGCTGCCTTTAATCTGTGCACTTGTAGAACATTGGTTATCATCAGAAAATGTGCTGTAATTGAACTGAAGTTTACCACTGCAGGCAGGTCAGAATAACACACACCTACACACACTGAGATGCATTCTTTCTCTCGCTCCCTCTCTCTGAACCATTTATATAAAGCTTGAACTTATATGCACAGAATTCAGAACACACTCATAATCACTGTGCTGTCACTTGAAAATAAGTACTTAGCCCAAACTATACTGCAAAATGGAAAAACAAAACAAAACCACAGGTTGAGTGTTCCATTAGTGCCATTAGTGTGTCGACCGGCATGAGACTCTCTTCAACAAGTATGTATGTGTGTGTGTGCGCATGCATGCACTTACGAGAGCTGTAGAAAATCTGTTACATGAAGGCTGACTCTCTCAGCTAACAGCTCCATGAGGCTCAGCCCCTGGTCAGTGGACAGCGAACTAGGTATGGACAAAAATGAGAAGAGAAATAAAGAAAGAACAATTAGTTAGATCTGTACATTTTCACAAGAAAATGTGGTGCTACAAAGCTACGGTGTTGTGGGTGGTTGCCAGGGTGTTGCTATGGGTTTACAAAATGTTCTATGTAGTTTTTATAGTGTAGTCATGCAGTAGCTAAACTCTCAGGGAAAAAAAGATACAAAATCTGCCACTGGGGTAATACCATTTCAGAAGGTACACCTTTGTGTATTTGAATTTGTATTTGAACATTTGTATCTAAAGTGTACGGATTAGTACTAGGGGTGCTCCGATTGATCGGCTACCAATCACTATCGGCCGATAATCACGTTGGGATGATTGATCGGCGGTCTCTAAAAAGGCTGATCTCAAAAAAACGATCTCAAGCTGATGACGCTGCCGTGAGAGGTTTGGCATGACATGCAGCGGCACCGTCTCAGTCTCTGTCCAGCGCGGCATCTGAAATGAGAGGGCGGGACATGATTTCGCCCTTCGGGAATAGGTTGTTAGCAATCACGTGATTCTGATGACGCGCGAAATACAGCTGGAGGGCAGGAAGTGATTTTTCTCCGTAGAAATTGCTAGCGGAAACTCAAAATGCTAGTGTTTTGCGTTGTTTATGGATGCTCAAATCGGACAAACCGAGAAACCACAAGGAGCTTTTACCGTGTTCGAAAATGTGTTGTTCATAAGTCAAGAAATTGATTGAAAAACGCAGGAAAACTTTTCCACAACATTCTAATTTATTGAGATGCACCTGTATATATAAATGCATCATGCCTAAAACAGTAGCCTATATTACCGACTTTCCTGTATCTCATCCCTTCTTTTTCAGTCACTCCTGAAACTTTGCTGCATGTACAGGGTATGTGGCTGTTGGTCCTGTTAGCAGCACGTAAAACAAAACTTTTATTCAAATTCTGTATTCATTATAGCCTAGAAAGCGAGCTAATAGTGCTGTGAGAGGTGGCAGCCCAATCTGTTTATATCTTTATAAATATCTCAATATATTATTATATCCTATAATAACCATTTGCACGCACGAACATTATCACACGAGCTTCGCTCCTCCCGACCGCAGACGCAGGTTTACAAGCCACTTTTTTCCAGCGTTTTTCAGTCAAATTCTCGAATTTCCCCCCCTTATGAGCAACACAGTTTTGTACACGATAAAAGCTCCTTGTGGTTTCTCCGTTTGTCCGATTTGAGCATCCATAAACAATGCAAAACACTGGCATTTGGAGTTTCTGCTAGTGATTTCTATTAG